GAATTTGAGAGAACGATCGTCTGATTCGGTATCGAGGGTGAATTTTACTTTTGGCCACTGAGGTATCAGAAGCCCGGTAACGATCTCTAGGTGAGGTCAACTTTATCCTGATGAATGATTAATGTCGACAGAGATGTTCACATGATCCAACATAAAACCAAATGAATTTAGGTGTTATGACTACGAAAAACTGTTGGAACATCTCCAGGAAAATCTTAAGACAAATTGGGTCACCAAGGCATTCAACCGTTCGGTAAGAATTACATAAGTTTTTTTCAGTAGTACAATATGACTGGTAAAGTATCCTAAATGATGAAATTCATCATTCATCGTTGAGAAAGTGAATAACCCCTGAGAATTTTTCCTACCAATACATTGTTCACAGGTCACATATATTGTGTAGATTAATAAATGAGTACAGTTTTATTCCAAAACTTCTTTGAAGTTGAATTACTCTGTGAATTTTGAAGAATGTTACCGAAATCCATGATAGGTTTAAGAGTGTAGCCTAATCTGAGCAATACGGTAGTATATTGTCGTAAATAAAAATGAGAGTTTTTAACATCTCTTCATTCATATCATCTGGCACGATAAGATCATTAGTAGGTTGTTGCCGCCAACTTTTATCTTTTTTGAATCCCTTAAAGAGCGTATGGCAGATTTTCTATCATAAATAGAATTTGATGAACTAAAATGCCATTGTTGCTTCTAGCCGTACTACCCGGTTTCTCAAGCCAGAATCGGCAGCTGACTCGAGAGATTTTACCCGGAGCCTTTGACGGGAAAGGAACTGATTTATTGGTTTCAATAGGTTATCTGTTGAGAATCAGTGTCCCATCAATCTTAACCTACACCCTCTGAAGCATGGCTCAAGAGTTCATAACCTATCACGGCATTAACAATATTTTAGGGCTATTCATTACTTCTCATTCGAGGATTTTTATAATTGCCATTCTCTAGACGAACGCGCTTCGCCTGTCTCGGTCATAATAATTTTATTAGTGTTCCTTTTACCCGATGTGTTAGAAATACCTCAGCCACGAGAAAGCATTAATTTTACATCATGCTGTTTGGATAGTGTGCCTGGAAGAAGGTACGACAGGCTCGATCCTGGAGAATATAGAATAGAATGGAATATAGATACCAAGATACACAACTTTTAACTGTTTCCAAAATGCAATTATTTCAGTTGTTATCATCTAACTGCTTTCCAGATCAAGGTAAAACACTAGAAATTTAGTTCAAATGAGGACTGTTTGAACATTCCAGGAAGTAGATGGCTAGTGTGATATGGTGGTGAACACCATCCACCATCCATATAGACGGCTGCACAACAGCAGTAAGTGATTTAGCAATGATTCACCTTTGCGTTTAGACTTACCCAAGTCTGAATAATGGTCATTTACTAGCCTCAGCTTGTCGGACGCATGTCTCAATTGTGCCTTTTGTCACGATGCAGAACTGACGAAGCGACCTAGGCAAACACTTTGACGGTGGAACATATTGAAAGTCTCGATACTAAGTGATTGTGCATCCGTCCATCAGACAGTCAGCTGTGGTAGTTCAGATGGTATAGTAATTAATAGCTTGGTTGCAAACAGTCAGTGGTTTGATTGCGAGTTGAGGAAATGGCTTTCAAAAAGGATTTGACCGGTCACCTCTGAGAGAATGCATTTACGCAGGTTAGAAACGTAGGCAGTATTTTCTCGCATAAATGGAACAATCGAAATGTAGGGACTATAGAAATTATAATATGCCATGACATTATCACTATAAAAGTAAACTTTTCATAGCTTCCTTCGTTAAATATGTAGCTTTTTCGTTTCAAGTCAGTTAAGATGCCGGGTTCAGAAATCAGACTACATTACTAGTGCCCTATGATCCCACTGACCATAGTCGTTTCAATGCGTGTTATGTGTAATTATATGCAAACATTAATAGAACCGAAACTACTTCAAGGCTTATTTTGCGTCATAGTTACCCTACAGTCTACTGATAGTAAGGCCACATTCGGCTTATGCAATACAATAATTGACTTGAGATATAAGCATACACAACCAAAACAATGGTCCGCTTCTGCTTCTATTTGGATGGTAAATAGTTTTTTGGCTTCCCCTTGCGATGATCCTATTGGAGTTCTTTAGAGTTTCAGGGATCGGAATCTCAAGGCATGGATACCCGTAACCGTTCACCAACTGGGAATCGGTAACGAGTTCCACTCTTCTTGTCCTCAGCTCACAAAGATGGAGAAGAAACGTACAATTGCATGCGGTGTTCAATCACATGTATGCTTAGTGATTCTTTGTACGCTTTCCTAAACTCATTTTAGTACTAATGCAAGAACGAAATATTTGATGTATAGTATAAAGTGTGAAATATCACGTGCTTCCTGAAACTGATAAATTGAACTTTACGACGGTACATTTTATAATTATTTTGCCTCCTTTTCATTGATTTCATAATGATACAATTTCCAGGAAGGGGAAACCTGCTTAATGGAGGGTTGCCATACAACACAGAGAGTGGGAAAGTCAGACAGTGGTAATGGGACTCGAACACACGTCCTCCCGAGTGGTTCTTTGATTACTATTACCACTCGGTCACCCCTGTTTCACCAAGTGATAATCTTTCTGCGAATGTAATATTAGAATGTAATTTACTCCGCCAAAATTCAGCCAGAGATGATCTGGTAAATCTGAAGCTCTGGGAATCACAGGCAGCACTAATGAAATAAAGTAGAAAATCGCGCTACAAATAGGCATGCAGCGACGGAAGCGCACACAACTTTCGTAAACCTGAGCATATTTTCGATTCACCAGCAACAAAGCTAGCCATTACGGTCAAGGGTTTTAGGAAGGGCTTAGCCTAGTTTTGATGGTAATTGCAATTGTTTGATGGTCTAAAACATCTTGCAAATGAAAATCAGGGTTCAATAGTTATATCTTCGCATCACGGTGTTGGTAATGACATTTTATATCCTATGAATAGCTGCGTCTTTTTGCTTGTGTTCGCTACATGAAATCGTCCTTGCGAAGATCCATTTCCAATCAGTTTCACTCGCCAGGTTTAAAGTATTTTATTTTTTACGACCCCCCCCCCCTATTCCTAAGAATGAGGGAATTCGGTGGAGCGAATACCCGTTTGATAGAGAAAGCCATTCATAATCACCTCTTGATTCATTATGGTTGCAGTTCTATTTCAAAGTATTTTAAAAGCTATACTTGTTCAGAACGAGGAACCTTTTGCCTCGAACTATCCATTTATGATAGAAAATTCAGCTACGAAACAAACTTTCGGAAATATGACAACAATGGACAAACGGTTCCTTCAACCAGCATGCAAATATCACCAATTACAAAACAGCTTTGGTAACAAAAAGAATTTAACCCTAATTCCGCGGATCCTAAAATATTACTAAAATCGATTGCAGTCTCAGGATCGCTTATTTCTGAGTTCAGTAGCTGTTTCCGACTTATTTTGTAATTAAAATGGCTAGAAACCTCAAACTCATTAAACAGACAACCCACCGCATAACCGAGTTTCGTAAAAACAAACCATAAACGCTGCAGTTCCCGAATCGCGTTTACATGAAGGCTTTACACACCAGAAGTTGGCGCGGGGGTGGTTATTTCGTGCTCATAACAACAAAGTTTTGACACTGCAAACAAACGTTACACACTTCCTTAGGTTTGTTTGTCAGTGCGTTTCACTGCACATGCTGGTGAGGATTTCGACACAGAAATGAGACTGTGCATGAATGACTGCTTGAAGTGAGGTGTACCAGGCGGACGGAAGCTACCATCCTACAAAGATTAGGTTCTCTGTGTTTATTACCTAGGACGAAAGAAACAAGTTAGAAGCGAGCAACAACTCCCTGTTGTTACCTCCCACAAACGTGTCGGTTATTTTTTTTCCTCGGGGATAATTATGAATAGAAAATATGGTAACTTTCGCAGTTCATTTCAAATTACAAGTGATGTATCTAAAACGATTTAGGGTTTGATGGTAGTTTAGTTGTTTTGTTTTGTTTTGAATATTTCAGTTAAATCTACATGTTCCCTCAAAAGAGAGAAGTATACGGTGTTCCTCCAGACTCCCATCACAAACTGTGGAATCCGAAATGAACAAAAGCAGAGTAGCTGAATATCGAACGGGCAAGTAGACTTCCAAATATATCTGACGGAAATCTGATAAACACATTTCAGAATTATACGCAATAGTTGCTCATATTTTGGACTGTCGCACTAAAAAGTCAAGCATTCTGCGAATACTGCCTTACTGCTAATTTCATGGTGCCTCAGTGAGCTGTCACCTGGTGCAACTGGTGCAGCAGAACCTCTCGTTTTTTGTTTCGAAGGTTACCTTTATCCCAAATGGACTACTAATTCTGTAGTCGTGAACTGTATAGGACAATTTTGGGACCGCAGATGGTTTAGTAAGAACTAGGTCGACCAATTTTGCTCTTTGAACACTTTACTCCGTGTTTATGAGCGCCCCCATAGAAAATTAAATCACAATATAAAGCAAACTTCAAATGGGTTCCTATCAGCTAACGTGCTAATAATTACAAATAGTTTGAGCAAATGTTTGCATCAGTTAACTAAAGAAAAGTGTTTACCAAATAGTTAGAAATCTCCAAAAATTGGATCACAATAAAGTAATGGAGGGTTTGTTTTGATCATATGATTAATTTTGTCTTGTATAGAGTAAATGAAGGGTGAAATGAAAAGCTAAGAGGCACTGGACAGCTTTTTTAACCTCGTGCCTCATCAGCAGTGCGAATTCATCGACCCAACTGGAGGTCGAACCGGGGACTTCACAATAAGAAAACATTTATTGACCTATGTAAATAGATCGAATGAACTCCAGGGGGAGGAGGTTGCTCAAGCCCTCAACTACTTATTTCAAGTTCTTGAGCTGCCTACAACTTCGGTGATCAGTCCTCGTATGCTTAGCTCTACTCAATTCACAATAAGTATAAGATTATTCAGGCAAACTTCAATGGCAGAAACAGATTAGAGTTTTGCACCGATTTATAATTCATTTCTACATGGTTGTAGCAGAACTAGGTAGACCTTAAAGCCTTATTACTAAACTATTGAAAAAGTGAAATTTTCCATACGGGATGATTGTTTTTATGCAAGAAATTATCTTTTAAACGCTTTCACCTTTTCATCTACTAACAGTTTTTAATAAGCAATAACTTCCTGATTGAGTTAAAGATTTGAATCCTAGATGCGCGTAATATATCAGTTCAACTATCATCCATATCAGTTCAAGTCATCTCATGGTTTATCCAAATAAAGAATATTGGTTCTCAGCAGACATTGGTTGCAAGTTCGCTAGTTTCAGCTTAGTTTGCTGCTATCACCCTCCTAATAATATAGTTTGCCTAAGTCACACATGCCTGCTACAGTGTCGTACAACAGCACACACCGTCGGATTCCAGTTATTTTTATTATGATCTATTCAACCGTCTGTGTGGAATTGTAATTGCAACAGTCATCATGTGAAACACGGATATAGTGCTTCAACACCGAGAACATTTTCACTGTTAACTGGGTATTATTAGCACCACCAATCATCCTCGAACTCTTTAGTAACCTAATGAATTGTTCAGATTCCAATAGCTTCCCCGCTGGCATATGAGTGGTGCTCACTACGCCAATTAGTCTTCATCACTTTATCGCCATCCGGGGAAAATTTACACTCAAAGTCAGATTGTTTCTCCTCACCTAAACTAAAACAATCACTTTGGGAAAAGAACATGATTTTGAGTCCGAATAGCACTACTTGATGAGAGATCTCCATAGGGTTATCAAAGCGGAACTAGGGAAACTAAACACTGCTTATATACGTGCACTGTTGGTCAACGGGAACTGCAGCGATGCTTGGAAAACGTTGTTTCAGTTGTGCGGCCTCGGATCGAAGAAGGATCTTCTAGCTTCGAACGTGGACGATCCCAATTGCCATTTCAGTAATGCTGCAACCGAAGTGACTTTCTTTGATAAGATTTTGGCGCAGTTGTTTTGGAATGACGACCACAGGGCACCTTCTTCCTGGCTGTCGTTTCGTTAAGATACCGGCGGCATTCAAATAAAGCTGCTTCCATACGGATTGTCATGACTTCATGTGTGTACTATGTTGAATGTTTCGGTATTACTTGCCCTGTGAGGTTGCCTCGATCACTTTGCGAAGTTCTTGATCCTTGCGTTGTTCCTTCACCAATTCTTGCGGGTCTTGTTCCACTGCCAGCATACTGTCATTGAAGGAATCTGCTTCATCCTGACGAGACAAAACATCCGCCATACAGTTTTCGGTACCTGCAACATGATTGATTGTGAAGTCGTACTCCTGAAGGCAAAGCGCCCATCGGGCAAGTTTTCCTCTCGGGTCCTTGGCGGTTTTAATCCACTCCAGCGGCTTGTGATCTGTTTCCAAATGGAACCTCTGACCCAAAAGGTATGGCCGCCACTTGTCTACGGCCCAAACGATAGCAAGGCATTCTTTTTCCGTGGTGGAATATTTCCTTTCCGTTGGAGTCAGGACTCTGCATGCGTATTCTACCACTCCACTTACTTGTTTGAGTACGGCTCCCACTCCCACGTCACTGGCATCCGTCACCACAGTGAAGTGCTCGCCAATTACCGGCAACTTCAGTGTCAGGTGTTGTTCGGTCATGACCCTTTGGAGTTCATCGAAGGCTTTCTGGGCTTCTGGTGTCCAGCTGAAACGAGATTCCTTTTTGAGTAAGGTGTACAACGGTTCGGCGATGTTCGTAAAGTTTTTAACGAACCGGCTATAGTATGCCGCACAGCCCAGAAACCGTCTTAATGTTCTTTTCGATGTTGGCCGTGCAAACTCCTTTAGCTTGAGGATTTTCTCAGGGAGTGGTTTCACTTCTCCGTTCCCAACCTTGTGTCCGAGTAAAGTCACTGTCAGCTTCCCAATTTGGGACTTCGATGCATTGATCCGGAGGCCAGATTTTTGGATTCTTTTCAGAACATTTTCCAAGTGAAATGTGTGTTCGGTTGTTGTTTGACTGTAGACAACAATATCATCGCCATAGACCACCACGTTGGGGACACCTTCGAGTAACTTCAACATGAGGAGGCGGAATGTAAATGGTGCTCCTGATAATCCGAATGGCATTCGTTTGAACTGATATTGTTTATTTCCGACTGTGAACGCCGTTTTCTCTCGATCAGCTTCTTTTATTGGTACTTGCCAATATCCCGATCGTAAATCCACCACTGAGAACACTTTTGCGCTTTGCAGTTGGTCAAAAATCTCTGCCACGGTCGGGACTGGGACTGGCTTGTTTATAGTCACAGTGTTTACTTGGCGGAAATCCACACAGAACCGAAATTTACCATTGGGCTTTTTCACCAGTAGCACGGGCGAGTTATACGGACTTCGAGTTTCTTCGATGATTCCTTCCTTTAACATTTGTTCGACCTGTCGCTTGACTTCATCCATCAGGTGTAGTGGAATTCGACGTGAAACATGGGCTCGAAATTTCCCTGCCTTCATTGGAATTTCGTGTTCGACCCAGTTACAGAACCCGTAGGGGTCATCATCGCCTGTGAACAGGTGGGAGTATCGTTGCACCACTGGCCGAAACGAAGGAGATACATTCGTGTGAGTTGTTTCTGTACTCACGGTTGCCAACCTCTTCCCTTTGGAGCGTAACAGCGGGATCGTGCCGAATTTT